AAGGCGAGTTTTTTTGTGGACTATTGTGAGTGAGTGATGATTTTGGATGAAAGAAATCATAAGCTTCTGGAGAAAAAGCAGATGGGTTTGAATAAGATGGACCATGAGCTGGTCTGCTTCCCGCAATGGAGACACATAGAAGCAAAGACAAGCATGAGAAGAAGAAGAGCAAAGAACGAGTTAGAGATGCCATGTTTTGTAAATGAGGATTAAAGTTGTTTTAGTGTGTGTATGTGTGATTTTGGATTTTATAGAATTGGTTTATAGAGGAGATAGTTGTTGCTTGAAGTGCAAATTTGTATGATTGTCTAATAGCAAAAGGAAAAAAAAAAGGGTATTTTTTAATGAGTGGAGAAGAGAAGTCATGCAATTTTTGTTTGTTTCAATCTTATATATTGTAATTGTCCTCTATAACAAAGTGTTGATGAACGAACACTTAATTTTTAACTAAAACAAAATAAGTTGTAATTTATTGGTTTTACCCTTTGTATTTACATACGTTTATTTGATCCATGGATCAAATGGTTTCAAATATGTTAGGTCATAAGATTTGTTCCTTTTCTTATTTTTGGGTTAAGATTGGGGACAAAGATATGCATGAAGAGTTTGTTAGCTTGAAGGAACCGCAATGAAAAATAAAACGAGGAAAAGTATTATCAAATCGGGTCCACAATTTGGGCTTGCATTATTTCTATTTTCGAATTTCTCTTCTTCTTTCTCATCTTTATATATTTTGAGTTAGAGAATTAATTTCAAAAACGATCGAATTACATTAAACCAAGTTAAAAAAAAAAGAAAAACATATGAGCAGTAATGGTTTAATGGTTAAAAAATTGATAGCATGGCGTCAATTCACTCCTCTCTCGGATTCAGTTCGCACTCGATACTCTTTCATTTCTATTTAGACAAACGAAATGGTATTATACTTTATGTCCAAATGATCGAACTATTCAATGAATGGATTACATGAGATGTACTGGAGTTCATGCCCGGGTTACCCTTTGTTAAGGAAAGAAAAAAACAAAGCGAAAACCGAAGCCACAACGGACGTTCCTATCTATCTTTGGTACGGTTTAATTCACGTCTGATATGTTTCAGAATGTAAAGACTCAAATCAAACCAAATTCGTTTTTTGTTGTGAGAGAAGGAAAAATGAACAATCCATTAAACTCGTGTCAACACAATGATTAAAATGAGATAAAGTGAGTTCTCTTCTTGTAAATCATACGTGACATCTGTTGATTCTCCAGAGATATAGAATCAAAGCGAAAATTAACGTTAACTCTAAGAAAAGATAAAAGCGAATAAATCGAGATTTTATCGTAAAGCAACATTAATTTAAAACCACATTTACACGAATGGGAAATTCCATGAAATTAAAAAAACAAACAAACATAGAAAAGAAAAGATACAAGTAATTTCCTCTAAATACAATGGTGTAGTGACATTTGTGGTTTAATCAATCATTTGATTAAAGATTTATAACTTGTGACATAATTAAAAATCAAGCAGAACTCCTAAAGGAGCCAAGAGCTTTAATCGCAGCCGCTCTTAGAACAAACTGATGATATAACGCAGCCGCTGCTGCTCCGATCATCGGTCCCACCCAAAATATCCACTGTTTCAAATATATCAAAAATTTAAATGTAATTAAACATCATATATATCATATAGTAAATTTTAGTAAAAAATGTGTGTATATGAGAATTACTTGATCGTCCCAAGCCTTGTCCTTGTTGTAGATAACGGCGGCTCCGAAGCTACGAGCCGGGTTGATTCCGGTTCCGGTGATGGGAATGGTGGCTAAGTGAACCATGAAGACGGCGAAACCAATGGGAAGTGGTGCCAAAACTGGGATGTGAGAGTCACGTGCATTTCGCTTGGGATCGGTGGCCGAGAAGACGGTGTAGACCAGGACAAATGTTCCGATGATCTCGGCACCGAGTCCGGTACCTTTGTTGTAGCCGTCAGCGAGCTCGTTGGCTCCTCCTCCATATCTAATGTTATTAGAAATAATTGTAGTTAATAATACAGTATAATTGTTTTCATTAGACCCTATACAACTATTTTAATAGACCTTTAAACAATTTTTTATGAGTTTTGAGACATGATTGAACCTGTCCTAGTAAGAACTTTGGAATGCTTTGACCAGACCACAACCGCAGATAGCACCAAGACACTGAGCCACAATGTATAAAACTGTCCGAACCAGTGACACTTTACGAGCAAGGAACAGTCCCACCGTCACAGCCGGATTTATATGACCACCTTCAATTAAATTAAACCTCCGGATCAATTGTAATAAAGGTGTATTTCAGTATAGATAAGCCGAACTAATCCGAACCGCAC